TAATATGTAGTGCAGTCAGAGAAAAAATTGCAGTTTTTCTTAGTGTAGTCAAGATTTGTGCCAGGGTTATTGAAATCGATTTAGACTAAAATATGTCAATAATCTAATGGCTATTTAGATGTATATAAAATCTTAAAAAGTTTAAATTCGAATTATTACCACTAAAAAATAAGGTATAAATGATAATATTATAATTAATAGTCAAATTATTGTATATAATCGATAAAATTAACAAAAATTTTATCTTACGATTTTTTATTGGTTATGTTTGTAGTTTTATGGGTTAATCGACAATAATTAGAATCGATTATTTTTCTGTGAATTATATTCAGATGATAAACAGAAATTTAACTGTCCATTACAGCTGATTGGGGTTAGGCCTTCAACATACTCGACAGAATTGTTGTGGATTTTGGGCATGACCGATAACTTTGGCTGTAGGTTACGTTTGTTCATTATTCCCCACTTCTCCTCGCTTTCCCTATTTTCTTCTGTTTTTCCTTTCTTCTCCGGCGAGGTAACTTTCGCCGTTCGTGCTGCACTGAGTAGCTGACCGGCGCTCGTCCTGCTCTCCAAATCCCCACGCCAGTGACGGTAATTTTGCAGCTTTCTCGGTAGATTTTGATGGTCTTTGTTTGGTTTTCCTTGGACTTACAGTGCCTATTCCCTGTTCTTCTTGTAGATCTGTGCTCCAAAACCAAACTCCACCGACTCCACATCACAACATCGGCCAGAGGAGCTACCCGCAGCCGCCGCTTTCCCTGGAAATCGGCACACCGTCCATGGTTAGTTTTCCCACCTAATTTTTGTTTTCCCCTTTGATTTTGATACAGAAGAGAAGGTGGAAATAGAGATAGAATCAGAATGAGAACGAAGAGAAATTGCAGAAAAAGAAAGTTAAGAGGAAGAAAGTGATACAGATTAAAAGAGAAGGTAGAAAGTCCTTTTGTTTCTTCTTGTCTACTTCTGCTTTTGATAAAGCTTTGGTTCCCCGCAAAGCTGAACTCGTCAACTTAAATCCACAAACTAAATATAAAACCTTTAATTTCCTCGCAAACAACCACTGAGTAGACCCAAAAAATGACATTCCCCAAAATTTCAGCAATCAGTCTACCACACAAATCAACCATCAGCAATACATACCATTTCCACAATTCCAATTCCTTGCCAGCATTAGGGAAATCTGAGTGCAAGATACCCAATTTTGTTTTCTATTCTTTCTTCGTCTAGGACAGAATTTATCCCGTCCTTAGAAGAACACAATTGTTTGTTCTTTTTCCTTGTAACAGAATTTATCCTTTTCTTACTTACCTCACACCAGAAAAAGAACGTATCAGTTTTATTTTTTGGAAAAAATTTGTTCATAACACTAATTTGTTGATAATACTCTATTTGTTTCAAATAACTGTTTTATTTTTTTTTTTAATTAGGAATTTGATGATAATTTATACTTATATTACACTTAAAAAATAGATAAAGAGAGACTTCTGATAATAAGATGACTAATTGAAATAAATAAGATAAGGTTAAAATAAAAAAATGATAAATAAGCTTTGGTTCCCTTGGTTGGGTAGGTTTTTAGGGGCTAATGAGATAAAGGGACTATTTTGGCGAGTGAATGGTGGTATTTTAGTTGAGTTATATGGGTTGGAAGTAAGCTTCTGAGCATTTGGAGGCAAAGGTACGAAAGGTGTAAGAGTTCTGGTATAGGCCTGTGAACTTTGGAATTTAGTTTTCTTTAGGATAGATTTTGCAGTAGCTTCTTGATGTTTAACATAGGAAAAGGCTTTTACAACAGATTTACAGTGTTGACAAACAACAAAATGCTGTAACTCCTCCTTTAAACCACCAATAAACATGGCAATAGCTTGATCTTCTAAACTGTTGATTTTTTTTTTCTCACAAAGCAATAGAGAGAAAATCAGGAGGAAGATGAAGAGTAGAACATAAACGAAACTGGATAGGAGTATAAAACCCCAACTCAGAACTTCTCATTATTAATCTCTGCTTTATATAGCAGAAAACAATTTAAAAACAATTCAAAAATTTCCTTTTTTTTTTTTCTTCTTTCTTTTTGGTGCAAGCAGCTTTTCTACATTAAAAAGCAATAATAAAAGTACATCTAAAACAAGTAAAAAACAACCACTTTTGCTGCATGCTTGCTGTGATTTTGCAGCCTTCATTTCATTTGCATTTGCATTTCATTTGCTGTTCATTGCAGCTTCATTTCATAAACATTTGCAGCTTAGCTTGCTGCACATTTTTTCTGCCATTTGACAGCTTTATTTCCATCATATTTGCAACTAAATTGCTGCCATATTTGGTGTCAGATTCATAATGGGTTCCTTTGTTGGAAGGAGTATACTTTTTATGAGTTTGAGATTTGGTGATTAATTATAGCATGTTGGATCCTATGATACAATGGAAAAATGTTAACTCAGACTGGTTCAGTAGAAGAATATTTAAGGGAGTTTGAGAAGATTAGCTTCTTTTTTAATTTTTTTAATTATAATAATAATTTGCAGAGTTAATAATAATAATACTTTTTTAATAGCATGTAGGGATCCTATGTATAATAATGTTTTTATTTTTTATTTTTACAGAGTTAGCTTCTTTTTTATGAGGTAAATTACTTGAAATTTAACTTTTTATTTTATTACTTCTCATATTATTTAATTTGATTAAAATTTTAGTTTTTTTTATTATTCTCAAATGTATTATTTTAACTATACATATTGTTGTGGGATATATGATTTTATCACTGAAATTTGTTTTTACAATTTTAATGACTGTATGGTAATAGCAAAAATATAAACACCAATGTAGGATTTGGGATGTTATAGTTAATCAAATTCTTTTCGTTAACCAGATTGAGAGCAGCTTTATATATGTTGGCATCAGTTTTCTATCATCACGTATGCCATGCTGCTTATTGTCAATTTTTTTGGTAATTTGAAATTCTTCTGCAAAAAGAAAATAGTGCCGAAGTTGATTGGTTTTATGCATGGTGAAATATTTCATAGGCTAACATGGAAATAGCTACTCTACCTCCGAGCACGATTGTACCAGAAGTTCTTAAAAAGGATAATTATGAAAGGTGGAGCATTTTAATAAAACACTACTTAGTGGCTCAAGATGTTTGGGATGTTGTTGATCCAAACCAGAGGACTGAAGAAATGAATGAGAGGGTGCGGATCAAAAAGAATGCTTTAGCTCTACATGCCATTAAGATTTCATGTGGAGCAAAGGCGTTTGATCTAATAAAGGACATACAGTCAGCCGGAGATGCTTGGCAGGCATTACTCGATATGTCGAATGTCTCAGACATCCCCAGGCGCCCGGAATTTGTCCCTCCGCACATGCCCACGCACGAGGATGAAGGTTTTATTTCATCTCTCTCTATTTTTTTGGCCAAAATTCATCTATCTGTTTGAGTTCGCTATTATTTCAGCATTTGTTATTATAGAGAGACTGCTGAACGGTTAACTTTTTAGAGGTCCTGGTTTAGATCTAGCTAATGTTGTGTTTATTAATTTTCGGAGCTTAGATTGGTTTTTCTGATTTTAAATCTGGCAGCAGTCTTGGGCTTAATTAGTTACGTTATTCATTCAAGTCGTGTGTCAGTGTGTGGTGTTGAGATCGATCTTTTGTTTGTAGCCTGCAGGATTTGATAGTAAGGAAGGCCAATTGAAAAAGGTTTTCCTTCTATTGCATCTCAAAGAACGTTTCGCTGTTTCACCTTCTGCAGTCAGAACAATTTTTTTTTAAATTTATCTTTTAACTTGTGCCATTAAATTATATGTTAATAATCTAATAAATGTATTTTTTTATAATAAATTTATATAAAAAATTATAAAAAT